AGGACCCACACAGACCGCAGGGTGAGAGCGCCCCCTGCTGGCCCCACTAACACCTCTTCCAGCAGCAGCCTCAGTTTTTCCCAGGAGTCTCCCCTCCAGGTACTGGCCAGGCTCACACCTGCTGAGCTCCAGTGGGGGGGCTGCCAGTTGTGAGTTGCAGAGTGATCTGGCTGCTGTGAATAGTGACAGAGTTTAAGTCTTGACCTGTGTGTGTTTTCCTCACACGTCAGTGATGCTTGAAGTGTAAAAATTCACGCCACCAGTTTGAAGTGTTTTCTTAATGTCCCAACATACCTTTTCGGTGTTGTTTCTAACGAATTATTTTCGCGTTTCCTGCCGTTACAATTTTTTTCTGTTCTGTTTTTCTCTCTTAGTTTGTTTTTATGGAGTCTTTGTGGAGTGTCTTGTGCTATAAAAGATTTAAAGAGTGCTTTTTAAAAAACAAAATGATTTTCCCGACTGCATCAGATTGTGTTTTGATTTTAAATAAAGGATTAATAAATGAAGGTTAAATCATATGTTCTTTTTTATTTTGTCGGAGATGCATTGAGACAACAGTGATGGTGTTATGAGATGCGTTTGTGCAATAATATTGCAGTATAATGGGGTAATAGTGTCATTTCACGACAATATTGCTGTATAATGGGATAATTATGACGTTTCACGACAATATTGCTGTATAATGGGATAATTGTGACGTTTCACAATGATGGCTTAGCATAATAAGATAATAGTGATATGTTACATTAGTATTACATTATCATCGGAATATTGATTTTTGATTTGTTTCCTCTCTCGGTTTTCTTTGTCAAGTTTCATGGAGAGATACACATATAAACTCGGAAAATAGCTCGCCGCCTTCTCCCAGGAAATGTCAGGTAAGGAATTGTCTCCTGTTCTCAGTGTAAAATGCACTTTCATATAGTTTACTACTGCATCCTAGTTTGTGTGTCAAACTGGGTTGGTTTTGTCACTGTTCAGAGTGTTGATTGCTGGTATAAAAGTCACTTTGCAATGTTGTGTATTCCGGACTAGTTCAGTCTTTCAGCCTGTCCGTGCAGGATATTCTTTTAAGTCCTAGAATCTAGTTTTCATTAGAAACCTTATCAGAGACCCCCTGGAAATCTACACACGGTGGATAGCAAATGTCTACACACCCTTATTAAAATTTCAGTTTTTGTGGATGGTAAACGCTGAAGACAAATCAAGTCGGACCCCTCTTCACCATTAAGAAGATGTTGCTCAAAGGACTACTGGAAGAGGGGTGAGTGGGGCCAGCAGGGGGCGCTCTCACCCTGCGGTCTGGGTGGGTCCTGATGCCCCAGTATAGTGACGGGGGACACTAGACTGTAAACAGGCGGCGTGCTTCGGATGAGACGTCAAACCGAGGCCCTGACTCTCTGTGGTCATTAAAAATCCCAGGGCGTTTCTCGAAAAGAGTAGGGGTGTAACCCCGGCATCCTGGCCAAATTTCCCATGGGCCCTTACCAATCATGGCCTCCTAATAACCCCCCTCTCTGAACTGGCTCCATCACTCTGCTCTCCTCCCCACTGAGAGCTGCTGTGTGGGGGGCGTTCTGGCGCACTATGGCTGCCGACGCATCATCCAGGTGGGGGCTGCACATTGGTGGCAGCAGTGGGATTCCCCCTGACCTGTCCAGCGCTTTGA